CTTGAACATGTACCACACAACCTTGCGCGTCACGCAGCAGATGCATAGACGGGCAACAGGACATGTCGAAGTGTGCATCACAGAGTACGGCAAGGGTTTCAGCATGCCTTCTTCTGCTAGCTTTGGGAAGTCTCAAGTTTGGTCCGAGAGACCGCTTCCCTCACCAATTCGAATAGCCGATGCCTACCTCAGCATGCCTTCTCCGCTGGAGGCGCTTCTTCTTGCGTTTGCGCTTGCTGGTCTGGACGCAGGCTACCAACTCGTTACTGACTGTGGCGCAGCAACCAGAGCTCCGAGACGTCCGACGTTTGGCGGCGAGGCGCGAGCGGCTGGAGCGCCAAGTCTACGACACGCAGCAAAAGGAGGCAGTGCTTTTGGAAGCTTCGAGGAAGACGGCGGCGGCGAAAGGGCCACCCGAGTGGCGGCCAAGGAGGACGGAGAGATGAGGCGGCCAGCTGTGCAGCACCTTGGCCGGAGCCAGTTCTTGGCCCCAGTCCTTCGAAGCTCGCCGACCTGTCAACACAGCAAGGCACGGCACGGCTGCAACCGGGATTGGGCCTGGCCAAAGTGCGAGGACTGCGGGGCGGTCGAGCAGATCCCCAAGCTGACCCCGGACAAGCTTACGGAGTGGAACTCGGTGCTAGTGTACCAGGCGCCCAACTACCAGACCCCGGCGGCAGCGAAGGAGGCGAAGGAGGCCAAGAAAGCGGCGAAGGCGACGACTACATCGACGAACTCGACCGCACCGGCGTCCACGGCTCAAAGGAGAACATCACCGACAACGGCGTCTACGGCACGACCGACATCTTCGACTATGCCGGCGGCTTCGGCACGACCGACCTCGTCGACTGTGACGGCGGCTATGGCAAGAGCGTGGGCCGCATCCGAGATCCGGCCACCAAGCCGCAGTCAAGGCCCCATGGCCCCGGACGAGGGAGAGATACCACGACATCCCCCGAGACCACGCCGAGATGGGCCGATGGAAGTGGACGAGTTCAGCATCGGCACACCGGACAGCGCAGCCTTTCCTCCTCCAACCTCAGCGGGCGATTGGGAAGGCGAGAGAGACATGGCCCAAGCAACGTTGGATGTCATGATGCCAGGTTCGGCCCTGACTCGCTCCTGCACCCAATGCCCGGGAGAGCTGACGCTAAACTGGCACGAGGAAAAGGGGGGCTACCTTTGGATGTGCGCCAGGGGCGACCCCAACTGCCAGTTCACTTGGAGCGGCTCGCTGGACCTCAACAAGCTGATGACGGCCTTCGAGATTCGCCTGTGTCTGAACTGTCAGCAGGAAGCCCTCAAACCCCACGAGCTGAGGGACAGGATGGCTTGGAGATGCCCTAGGTGCCGCGACCAGATCTTGGCATCCGAATGGGACGAGGTCATGGCGACATTCCTCCGAGCTGGCGGCTACAATCCGGACCGGACGCACCAATGGATGGAGAATGGGAGGCCATAGGCGGGCTCTCAGAAGAGGACACCGGTGATGAGCTCGGACTTTCCTTCGAGAGCCTGGAGATGTTTGGCGCCGGAGCGCAGCTACGTATGGGCCTTCGCTGGAAGTCGCGTGCCGGCAAGCAAGAATGCCATGGTGAAGTCACCCCTTTCCGCCAGGGTGATTTTCAATGTCGATGACGGTGACGTCAATGTCCTGGACATTGCCAAGAACAAGCACCCCATTGACTATAACCTCGGTGACACCGAGGTCACCGTCTACGTTGTCCAGGAGTTCGAGCGCGACTTTGTGGAAGAGCTGGAAGACGTCCGGCATGACCCCATCGAGGCGACGTTCGACAAGGGCACTAAGAAGCTGCTCGGCCAGAGCTTGGAGAAGATGACGGGGAGTCAGGACGATGAGTCCTATTGGGTCACCTGCCAGCAAGAGCATGACGACCCAGACCCCTGGGCGGATCTAGAAAGTAGATCCCCCTTAAGGGTTCCTAGGAATTACCCAATAGTAGTATAAGGTACCCTAATGGGGGTTCTACTTTCTAGATCCTCCCAGGGGTCT